CATTCAATAAAATAATAAAAATAGGTGAATTCGAAAAAGATGGTAAAACCTTTGAAATTAAAAGAGAAATCAGATTCATCGATTCTTTTAAATTTATGGCGGAGTCGTTATCAAAGCTCTCCGGAAATTTAAAACCTGAAAATTTCAAAAATATGAAATGGATGTTCGATGATATTGACTTGTTAATTAGAAAAGGTGTATTTCCTTACGACTGGTTCGACTCCGAAGATAAATTAAAATGTGAAAGACTGCCATCCAAAGAAGAATTTTATAACAGGCTTAATAACGAACATATATCAGACGAAGACTATGAGCATGCCAAAAAAGTATGGCACGAATTCGATATAAAGAACATGAAAGAATATCATAATTTATATCTTAATTGTGATGTTCTCCTACTTGCCGACGTATTCGAAACTTTTCGAGATGTATGTCTTAAAAATTATAAATTGGATCCGACTTGGTATTATACAGCTCCAGGACTTGCTTGGGATGGAATGTTGAAAATGACAAAGGTGGAATTAGAATTGCTATCAGATCCAGACATGGTTCTAATGTTTGAAAGAGGTATCCGAGGCGGAGTCAGCATGATAGCTAAACGATATTCCAAGGCGAATAATAAATATATGAACAATTATGATCCTGAAAAGGAGTCTATTTATTTAAAATATCTTGACGCTAACAGTCTGTATGCATGGGCTATGACGAACCCCCTACCAAGCGGTGGATTTAAATGGATGGCTAAGCGGGAAATAAAATATTGGCAAAAACATCCATGCATTCTTGAAGTAGATCTAGAGTATCCAAAAGAACTTCATAAAATTCACAACGACTACCCCATGGCTCCGGAAACTTTATTAGGAAAACTAATACCAAATTTAAACAACAAAGAAAAATATGTGATCCACCATGAGATTTTGAAATTATACCTGTCTCTAGGAATTAAAATCACAAAAATTCATCGTGGGATAACTTTCAAAGAGGGTCCTTGGATGGAAAAATATATTAAATTAAATATAAAATTCAGAACTGAGGCTACTAACCAATTCGAAAGCGACTTCTTTAAATTAATGAACAATAGCGTCTTTGGCAAAACAATGGAAAATATTAGAAACCGGCAAGATATAAGACTTGTAACACGAAAAGATCAATTAAAAAAATTAAATTCAAAGCCGAACTTTAAAAGAAGAACGATATTTTCTGAAAATTTAATAGCAGTCCATATGAGCAAGACTCGACTTAAATTCAATAAGCCTATTTATGTTGGGATGGCGATTCTCGACATTTCAAAGTCCCTGATGTATAATTTTCATTATAATTACATAAAGCCGAAATATGGTGATAGGGTTGAACTATGCTTCACCGATACAGATTCTCTATTTTATGAAATAAAGACTGATGATTTCTATAAAGATATCTACAATGATATCGAAAAAAATTTCGATACTTCAGCTTATGGCAATCACCAAATTATTGATAAAAAAATTAATAAAAAGGTTATAGGCCTCATGAAGGATGAATCAGCTGGGAAGGAAATTACAGAATTTGTTGGGTTAAGGGCGAAGTTGTATGCTTACAAGGTTGATGGTGAGGTTCAGAAAAGATGCAAGTGCATCAAAAAGTCAGTCGTAAAAGATGCTATTTCTTTTGAAGATTATAAAGATTGTCTATTTACTGGAAAATCTCAAATGCGAAAGATGAATGTTCTTAGATCGGAGGGCCATCAGATTTATGCCGAGAC